TTGCCTTTAGAGTTATTGTAGCAATAAGAATTAACATTCAATCATTTCCATGTTAGGAAACCTATGGTGCCTCTGAGTCTGTGAGGGGTGTAACAGTGTAAAATGTTCCTATAATTCTTTTTGCCACCTTGTATGTATAACTTGGTCATTATTAAGACTTATAGAGGTTCTGTCTACCTTCTAATGCTTCTAGAGAAGTCTTTAGACAGTATCTATATGTTCTCTTGCTGTTAGAAAGCTCATAACTTTGTCCTGTGTGTAAGCTGCCATTTTGTTTGCTGTGACCACACTTACTTTATGTAAGGAGCGTGTGTGGGTGGTTGTTCTCAATATAACGCATTTCTTTACATGTGCTAGCGTCATGACCAGAAGTGCTATATAAAACAATGGGAGTATGCATCAATGCGTCAGAATAGAAATGTTTTCTAATCTGATGCATTGACGCATCTTCCCATTGGTTTATACAGCACTTCCGATCGTGACGGATGTGCATGAAAAGCAATGCGTCATATTGAGAACCCACCCTATGCTGTTATTTCTCCAATACAACATGTATAGAAGAAATGTACATGTAAGTGTGGGCATAAAAAATTAGATAGTGTGACAATAAAAACCGTTATAGGAACAACCTGTGGGGGGCTTCGTCTCCCAGGTCATAAAATTTTTGGATAAATATTTTAGATACTCTATAGCTCCAAACTTTCATCAGTCAAAAGTTTTGTCAAATTTGTCAGGAATTTTTGATTGACGAAATTTTTTGCTTCACATGGATAGCACGTGGATTTTGTAACAGAAATGACAAAAAAAAATTATCGACAAAAATTAATTTTAACAAGAGATTTCAACAAAATTTATAAAAAATTTTCATTGCTTGCAGTGTGAAATTTTGATGAGCCTTTCTTATGTATAACCTTTCTACCAGAATTACCTACTGGTAGAGAAGGAAGTAGACTCACTAAATTTGCATTTTTTATACAAAATGTATCAATTAAGTTATTGTGATTTTTTCAGATAGTTTGGTGTCCCAGTTGTGTCCGATGGTGAGGAAGTGTCTCGGGAAAGAAGAAACCTACGACCTAAGAATGGACACTGTAATGGTACGATATATAATTAATGGGTGTGGTCATCAAGTGGGTGTGTCTTTATTCTACAGCTAATTGGTCGAGTGGCATCATTTCTCGGTCAAGAGGTCTGTGTGTCTGAGTTTGTTCCTCAGTTACCAGCTTTAGCATCTGACGCCATGTTCCATGTGAGAAAGGTAGTGTTTGTGCATCTCAGTATACTCTTGGATACTACCTCTGTATATTTTAGTCCTTTGCTATATGCTGTAAAGACTTGTGCTCAGTAATAGGACCAGCATCAACTGAGGAAGTTATTGTGAGTATATTTTATAGAGTTTATATGTACAAGTATATTTGGT